TGGGCTAGAGCTCTAACAATTGACTTATGGCTCTACTTTTGGCTTTTTTCGTGGTTAAGTAGAGGTAAGAGTCGCATGTACTTTCCTGCTGGCTTTGAATTACAGTCCTCAGATCTCAGCCTCCTGAGTAGCTAAGATTACAGGCATGAGCCACTGGCACCTGGCCTATGCAATGATTTATTATAACTAAATGTTCCAAATCAAAATCACAAAGGAAACCTGCAGCTCAGAATTAAGAGTGCTTCGCTAGCATGTACAAAGCTTCATTCTCCATTCTCAGTACTACAAAAGTATCATAAAGGGATATAGAATAAAGTCTCAGAACCCAGGCACAAGTTTCCAAGTATATTTACAAGAGTCATAAAGGATGCACTAACTTTCTTAGGAAATCAGTCCTCAAGGTTTTTTTGTTTTTGTTTTTATAATTTTTTTTTGGTCGGTTGCGGGGCTTGAACTCAGGGCCTAGGCGCTGCCCCTCAGCTCTTCAGCTCAAGGCAAGCGCTCTACCACTTGAGCTACAGCGCCACTTCCTCAAGGTTTTTATTTGAGATAGATCACACAAACATCCTCAGACTAACACAAACCCAAATTTCAGACTCCCAGAAAGATGAGGTTTGACAGAAATCAGTTCTGAGAATGGTGGAAACCCTACTAAAGTCTTAAGTTCCAGAGATGTCAGGCAACAGCCACCCTTGTAAACAGATTTTCCAAGGATAGCATATAGGACTGCTATATTAACTGTTTGGCATAACCAAGCTTTCATCTCACTACTGGATTTTTGCTAATTTTCTTGTATCTAGCTGTATTCTAACTGGTAAGGGACTATATCCCATACTCGTGGGATACTTGTTTCCTCAATTCCATGTAGATTCCTGAAGGCCCACGTTCCTATCAAATAGAATCAACTCCACTGTTCACTTCTGCCTCTTGAGGAGTCTCTCCTAGAAGCTGTTTCCACTCTTAACAGAACACACACACACACACACACACACACACACACACACACACACTCAAATACATTTACTTCAAATTTGAGAGATTTGCAGATTTTTGTCATTTCTCCAGTGCTCTACTGGGGTTAAAAGTTGGATATTCTATTTTTTTCCTTGCTCTGGGCTCATACTTTTAAATGTCACACCAGAAGTGACACCTTAGTGTGACTCAGATCACTGATTCTTTGGAAGTGTAAAATCAGACAGAACTCAGCAACAGCAGTGAGACATTATCTCTCCAGTTTCAAGGCTTTGTGTTTGTTCCATAATGATAGCTGTTCATGCCTAATGCTCTGAGTGCACTATTGAAAGGTGAATAATAGCTTCACAGTCATTTTCAATTTAGTACAGTACTTAGTCATATGGTTTCAGGAACCATGTATAAAGGTTCTATTTAAAACCAAACAGTGGAATATTATTCTACTCCAATTACTTTTCCTTATACATGTAATTTACTTATGGTCATAATGGATAAAGTTTTTCTCCTAATATAAAACTAAGGAAGAAAAATCAGCATGAACCACTGTATTAGTTTCCTAGAGCTGCCATTATAAGTTATCCCAACTTCATGCTTAAAACAATAGAAATTTATTCTCTTAAAATTCTGGAAGATAGGAACCCCAGATCCATGTGTTAGCTACATCACGATTCACTTCTTGGATTATAGCTGCATCATTCCAAAATCTGCCTTCATCACCTAGGATTTTTTTTTTTTCTGTATCTAGGTATTTTCTATTTGTTTAGTTATGTCGCTGCTCTGAGATGCTTTTTCTTTCTTTCTTTTTTTTTGCCAGTCCTGAGGCTTGAACTCAGCACCTGGGCACTCTTCCTGAGCTTTTTGCTCAAGGCTAGTGTTCTACCACTTGAGCCACAGTGCCACTTCTGGCATATGCTGTTAATGTGGTACTGAGAAATCGAACCCCAGGGCTTCATGCATGCTAAGTAAGCACTCTACCACTAAGCCACATTCCCAGCCACTGAGTTTGTGGGGTTTTTTTTGGTCGTGGGGCTTGAACTCTGGGCATTACAGGCTAGAGCCATCAACTTCTAGCTTCTCTCTTGTTTTTTTTTTTAAATTTTATTTTATTTGTGAACATGCTGTACAGAGGAGTTACAATTACATGGGCAGGATAATGCGTACATTTCTTACCAAGCATTGCAGCCTCCTCCTTTGTTTACCCTTCACATCCCTTCCCAGCCTCCCCCCTCCCCCCAAATCCCAATCCATCTCTTCTCTCTTGTTTATAAGAACATCCGTCACTGGATTTGGCACCTACTCTTTTCCAGTATGATTTCATCTTACCAAATAACATATTTTAAGACCCTACTTTTAGATAAGGTCAATTCTGAGTTTTTATTTATACATGAGCATTTTGAGGGGATATCATTCAATGCACTACAATTAAATATATGTCTGACTTTGCAGCAACATGGAAGAGTTTGCAAACTTTATCATTATGATTTCTTTTTTCTTTTAGTCAGTCATGGTGCCTGATTTCTTAAATGAAAGAAGTTATGGAGGGATCCATACATTAGAAATAGTCAAGATATGGTGTGAATCATTGTTATACTGAAAGGAATACTTTAAAAAGGATGGAATAATGTTGAGTACCAGAAGCTTACACCTGTAATCCTAGCTACTCAAGAGGCTAAGAGATCACAATTCAAAGGCAGACCATCCAGGAAAGTCTGAGAATTTCTCATTTCCAATTAACCTCGAAAAAGCTGGAAATGGTGCTGTGGCTTAAAGTGGTAGAACACTAGCCTTGAATACAAAAGCTCTGGAACAGTGCCTAATTCATGAGTTCAAGCCCCAGGACCAGTAAAAATAAGATAAGATATTGTTGTTTGTAGAGATATCAGAGGGCTTGAATATTTTTCCTCCTGGAGGGAGATTTAATCAGAAACTCTTGAGTTAGAAAGGATTTACTTAGATCCACCATACTTTTCATGCCTCTTCTATACTGTTCATTCAAAGTGGTCATTGAGCCACAGGTGAAAACATCCAGAATTAGAGCCCTCTTTACAAAATGTCTTTATTCATTATTTGAGTTTGTTTGACTGTTCTTATGAGTTCCCACAATTTGAAAGTGCACTTTCAAATTATGTTGAAATTGGTTTTGTTATGACTTTTCTCAATGTTCTTGTATGTTTTTTTGTTTTGTGTCCAGTCGTGGGGCCTGAACTCTGGGTCTGGGCGCTGTCCCTCAGCTCTTCAGCTCAAGGCTAGCGCTCTACCACTTGAGCCACAGCGCCACTTCCGGCTTTTTTCCTTTTTTTGCTTATGTGGTGCTGGGGAATCAAACCCAGGGCCTCAGGCATGCAAGGCAAGCGCTCTACCACTGAGCCACTTTCCCAGCCCCTCTTGTATGTTTTTTGCAACTCTGCGAGCTTGTGGATTTAATATATTTTAAGGTTTCAATTTGTCACAGCTTTTATACTTGTTGATGCATAAATTGTCCTACATTTTTAGGCAATGTGATCTGTGTTCAAGTTGGGTCATTTTGACCAGAATCCCATTCATCTTTGGTAACTCCTTCACTTTTTCATGCTATGAGATATTCCAGGCTCATCTTGTATATTTCTTTACCCAGTCTAAGAATTAGCCATTGCTCCAAGAAGCCCTATTTTACTTTCAGCCACTTTCAAAGTCCTTTCTGAGGAAATTTTCCTGTTTTAACTGGTATACGTTTTTTTTTACATATTAACAAAAGTACTCCATTTAATAGAAAATACTAAATGAGAATATATTAATATAGATAGAGTATATATATATATATTAATATTAATATTGCTATCATCCAGAAAGAGTCATGTTAACATTTTACCACATTTTATCTCTTTGGAATTGTCTTTCCACTTAAAGTCCCATGCCAGACTTCCTATTTTACTAAGCAGTTAGAAAAGAGATGATGGGGAAAACTGCTATATAGTATTTAGGTAAATAAATTGAATAAGAATTTCTAGTTGTTAATCATCTTTGAAAAGTACTAATATTGGCTATGAAGCATATAAGGAAAGAGGGTTTGTGGGGAAAACACAATTTCAGTAATGGACTTTATAAACACCATGTTTGTTAAAATTGTTGGCAGATGCTTAAGATTAAGTTGCAGGAATCTACTGGAAGGCAAGCGTATCTCCGTATATTCAATTGAAATAAGGCCCCAAAGTAAAGTCTTTTTGTTTGTTTGTTTGTTTGTTTTTGGGTCCAGTCATGGGGCTTGAACTCTGGGCCTGGGCGCTGTCCCTCAGCTCTTCAGCTCAAGGCTAGCGCTCTACCACTTGAGCCACAGTGCCACTTCTGGCTTTTTTCTTTTTGCTTATGTGGTGCTGGGGAATCGAACCCAGGGCCTTATGTATGCAAGGCAAGTGCTCTACCATTGAACCACCTTCCCCAAAAGTCTTTATAGAGCCAGACTATTTTAAACTTGTCAACCTTTCATTTGTAGCATGTAGAATAAAAATGTTTAAGAGTGGGGTCTTGAATTTCTGGAAAGCTTTATAAGCCTATATTGTTAATTTTCATATAGCTTGGTCCCAGTTACAGGGTTGTCATTCTTTCCTGTAAAAACGTTTGTTTTCATTTTTAAAAGATCTTTCTTTAGTAGGTAGGAAAAATAAAGAATCAGGGTTTTCCATCTTCATGGAAACTTTAAACATTAAAAACACATGTAATTGACAAAATAATGTGAATTATCTGAAGTGTCCTTAATATCTCCCCACCACACACACACACTCATAACAGCCCTTATCTCATTGAATTTCACTTTACCAGTAGATTCTGTGACTGAAAGCTCACCAAGCTTCATTTACTACCACTTTCTGTCATTCTCCCTTTTCCTTTCTAGCTGTTGGAATATCAAAGTGATTTCTTTGTGTGCCTAGTAGTAATAGTCTTTAATCTCTTTCCTTTATTTCCAGCCCAGTTATAAAACTTAGGAATTTATCAGTCATTTAGCATAAAACATAAAGAGGTGAACATATCTCTAAAATGGCTGATTCTCAAAGTGTGGTCAGCCAAGCAGCAACATAACAGCCCTTGGGAGCTTGTTAGGAATGCAAACCTCAGACCTACTGGATTAGAAACAGCAGACAGTGTGTTAGCATGCATTCCCAATGATTCTGGTTCATGTTCAAGCTTTCAGGCCTTATCTAAATTTACATAGGAGGGCTGGGGTTGTAACTAGTTTGTAGAGCACTTGTCTGTTATGCATAAGGTTGTGTCTTTGATCCCTAGCACCATTAAAGGAAAACAATTACAAGCTACTCATGCAACCAATAAATCAAATACATAGTAAGTGCACTAAACAAGTCAACTTAACCATTTAAACATTGATTACAAGTTTAATCAAGTGCTTTTAGACATTTAATCAGAAGCCCAGCCTTTCAGATTATCCTGAAAGCTCTAAACATTTATTTACCAAGGAAACAATATCACATTGATTACAGAGTTGATTAATATTTTGATAATAAATGGTACATGCTATCAATATCATAGATGCTATTTTTTACCTGTCACTGGGTTCTAACTCTGGTCTTAGGTAGGCACTGTCCTTGAGATCCTTTTTGTTCAAGGCTAGCACTCTACCACTTAAGGCACAGCACCATTTCCGTGATTAATTGGAGATAAAAAACCTCATGGATTTACATGTCTGTTTTAGCTTTGAACTGTGATCCTCAGATCTCAGTCTCTGAGTAGCTAAGATTACAGGCATGAGCCACCAGCATCTGGCTTTTTGATATGTAGTTTTCACTTTTTTAATAGGAGCCATATTGGTTTCCTATATTGTTCTTACCAATTACTACAAATGTCATGATTTAGAACAGTTCAAACTTACTAGTTTACTGTTTTGTAAGTCAATATTCAATACCAGTGCATAGTGCTGTGTACCTTCTGGACGCTCCAGAGATTTGATTTCTTGAGCATTCCAGCTTCCAGAGGTTATCTACATCCTTTGGCTTCTGACCCTTTCATTCATCTTCAAACTCAACATCATAGTATCTCTCCTTTCTGACCTGCTTCTCTGTTGTAAACTCTTGAGATTATATTGGGCTAGAATATAATCACTCCAGCAGAATCTTTTCATCTCAAAAATCCATTTTAATTAAAATTCATTTTTACCAAGTAAACATGAACACTAGTTCTGGATATTGGGACATGGAAATCTTTGAGGATCATTATTCTACCACAGGATCCTATCTTTTTTTTTTTTTGGTAGATTCTGACAGTATCCCTTTCTTTTTTAAAATATATAATGTTCTTAAAACTGGTTTGGTTTCTAAATTTAATTCTTTTTTTTTTTTTTTTGTCGGTCGTGGGACTTGAACTCTGGGTCTGGGCGCTGTCCCTCAGCTCTTCAGCTCAAGGCGAGCACTCTACCACTTGAGCCACAGCGCCACTTCCGGTTTTCTGGCGGTTTATTGGAGATAGGAGTCTCACGGTCTTTCCTACCCAGGCTGGCTTTGAACTGTGATCCTCAGATCTCAGCCTCCTGAGTAGCTAGGATTACAGGCGTGAGCCACCAGCGCCCGGCTGGTTCTAAATTTAAAAACATGCTTTTCTTAGGCTGGGAAGGTGGCTCAGTGGTAGAGTGCTTGCCTTGTATGCATGAGACCCTGAGTTCGATTCCTCAGCACCACATAAGCAGAAAAAGCCTGAAGTGGTGCTGTGGCTCAAGTGGTAGAGTGCTAGCTTTAAGCTGAAGAGCTGAGGGACAGTGCCCAGGCCCAGAGTTCAGGCCCACGACCGACCAAAAAAAAAAATCATTTTCTTATTATAGTTAAGGGATATTAGATTTCCTTCTCAGTGGAACAGGAACTAAATCAGAAATATTAGATGTCTTTTTCAGGACAGTTAACTAAGTTATTGCTTTGGAATAAATAGTTGTATCATCTTTCTCATTGGAATTTGTATAACTGGTGCTAGTTAACTGCTGGGGTCTGACTTTTTACTTTTTCAAAAAGTCACAAATGCTGATGGTGCTTGCCTTTTTCTTTTGCCAGTCCTAGAGCTTGAGCTCAGGGCCTGAGCACTGTCCCTGAGCTTCTTTTGCTCAAGGCTAGCACTCTATACCACTTGAGCCACAACACCACTTATGGCTTTTTCTGTGTATGTGTACACTGAGGAATTGAACCCAGGGCTTCATGCATGCTAGGCAAGCACTCTACCACTAAGCCACATTCCCAGCCTGGTGTTTGGTATTTACAATACAGTTTCAACTGTTTGTTTCAGACTATTTGGCCTGCAGATAATAGTAATTTTTGTGCTTTATGCAGACTGAAAGTAATACAAATATATACCTTAAGAATGAAGACATACTTAACAAAAAGCTTACAAAATATCTTTCTATGCTTCTTTTATATAAATGCAATCTTAGTTAAATAAATAAATTTAACTATCATGGTAATATTCACTATTCTTCATTAAGCCAGTATTTTACATTGTCTTTATATATTAACTTCTTTCTTATAAGCATCACAGTCTTTCACAAAGAGAACTCATTTTATGTACTGATTTTTATTATAAGTGATAATTTGTAAAATGAGAGCTGTTTAAGTTTGCTCTTTTTCTCTTAAGGAGAGCCTTTTCCATTATAAAAATCATTCCAGCTTCCTGGCAACAACGTGATGTTACAGATATTTATTTATTTTTTTGTTTTTATTCTGCCGAAGGGCTTATAATTAACTGTCCTTTGATAGTTTCTACTTCTTGTTCATTTTTGATATAGGTCAGTATTAGTAACTAAAATTTATGTGCTGCAATGCTTTCTGGTGCTGGATGAAGGAAGAGGGACGGGTAAGGAATGTTCTAGGAGTTTATATGTGTCATCCAGGAATGGCCCAACTCTTGTCCACTCCTTCTGCACTGGAAATGGGCATATTCTAAGGATAGCATAGTCTCATCAGATCCCTACAGGGGCTACAGTGAGAGGCTGACAGTCCACAGTTCTTTTCATAGCAGGCTGTCTATGTCCTTGGCTGCTACACTGGGCTTTCAGTTTTGCAGAAAAGTATGTATTTTTCTTTAGTAGGTTGATATAAGAGAAAATTGGCTGGATACAGATCATTAGTAATATTTTTTCTTATCTCACTTTTGGTCTTAATCCTTAAAACCTAACTGGCATTCATTAATTAGAATTCATCATGTCTGCCCACAATTGTGTATGTGCATGTGAGTGCACTTGAGTGTGCACGTGCACACCTGAGTGTGTGTGTGTGTGTGTGTGTGTGTGTGTGTGTGTGTTGGGGATAAGACTTAAAGGCTTTTGCATGGGAGACAAGCATTCTACTGCTGATGAACGGAGCTACATAATTTGCCTAAATTGGTTGACTTCTTTTTTCTTCCTTCATGCATTTTTATTGTGATTATGAAGATGACATACAGATAGGATTACAGTTATATATGTCAGATGAAATGTAGAAGTGTACATTTCTTGTTGGACTATGTTATCCTTCCCTTCGCTCTCTCTGTTTTTCCTTCCCTTTCCCACCCACAAGTTGTCTAGTGCTTTTAAAAAATTTTCTTTATTGACATTAAGTGTTTACATAAAATTCACCCTATTGTGGGATAGTGATACTTAGCTAAAGTCACACATTTTAACCTTCACAAGATGAATTGTCATTATCATGGTCTATAAAGCTTGTGAACGCTATAAACATTGACAATACATCTATTTCTTCCAGATAGGATGATATGTACATTTCTTTTCCTTTTGCTTAGTGTAAGCTGTTCCCTCTTTTTCTCATTTCCTCCCTCCCATCGCTGCCCTTGAGTTGTTCAGTTCACTTTCATCAATGTCCTGTGCAACTGATAGACCCCTCAGGTTTATTTTTTTACCTGTTTCCCTCTGATTCTGTGCCCTCCACAGCTTCCCTCCTATGTGCACATGTATATACCATGTGGGGTCAAGAACATAGTCATCTAAAAACAATATGACAGATTAAGAAACTAGGAAGAATTCCTTTGTTCTTGTTTACTTTGTCATATCTCATTGTGTTTTGTGCATTTTTAAGTGTTTAGTATCACTGCTGCATTTGTTCACCCTTTGTCCCATCATTTCTGTGCGCCTTCTCTTATTGCTCCCACAGACAGTCAAGACAAAAGGAAAAGAAAACAAAGCCAGCAGCAAAGATAAAAATCTCTCGTTTCTATGTCCTGGAGTTCATTTTGATAAATATTATTTTATATAATCAGAAGCATATAGATATTGCACCTATGTGTTTCTCTCTTAAGAATATCCTCCTTTGGTCTCACTGAGTGAGTGCCTAAAGTCCTGTATAAATTATTTTGTCTTAGTGTATTTTTTTTTGCATCCAGTGTACCATTTGTAAGAAAATGAAAAGACTTGTCAAAAATTACATTAAGCTAAGTAAGCCAGACCTAGAAAAGGTTGAGTAGGTTCATTTCTTTTTTCTTTCTTTTTTTTTTTTTGGCCAGTTTGGGGCCTGGGTGCTGTCCTTGAACTTTTCAGCTCAAGGCTAGTGCTCTGCACTTGAGGCACAGCTCTGCCTGCTTCAGATTTTTCTGCTTATCTAGTGCAAAGGAATCGAACCCAGGGCCTCATGCATATAATCCAAGCACTCTACCACTTAGCCACCTTCCCAGCCCCTGTTGATTTCTATCTCCATAAAAAATATAAAGTCAAGCCAGACACTGGTGGCTCAAGCATGTAATACAGTCTACTCTGGAGGCTGAGATTTAAGGATTTCAGTTTGAAGCCAGCCAGCAGGCAATAAAGTTCCATGAGACTCTTATCTCCTATTAATCAGCAAAAAGCTAGAAGTGGAGATGAGGCTCAAGTGGTAGAGTGCCTTGAGCAAGAAATCTCAGGGACTGTGACCTGAGGCCCTGAGTTCAAGCCCCAGGACCATTGCCATTATGAATATATCATTCGTAGATAGATAGATCGTCATAAGATAGTCATTATAAGTATATCATTCATAGATAGTTAGATGGATTGGTAGATATAAAAATCACACTGATCCATACTAGCCACCGGGTCAGGTGTGGGTGGAACATCTGTGTTCATGTAACAGTTATGTTTAATAACCAGCTTGAATATCTATTATGTTGATAGGTATTTGTAACAGTGCAAATTCTAATTCATTAGAATTTTTATTGTTCAAAATCTTGTATTAAGGAAGGAATTATTAGCCAGGTGCCAGTGGCTCATGCCTGTAATCCTAGCAACTCAGGAGGCTGAGATCTGACAATCATGTTTCAAAGCCAGCCCGGCAGGAAGATATAGGAAAGTCTGTGATACTCACTTCCAATAAACCACTCAGAAAACCAGAAGTGGCACTGTGGCTCAAGTAGTAGAGCACTTGCCTTTAGCTGAAGAGCTGAGGGAGAGTGTTCACGCCCAGAGTTCAAGTCCCATGACTGTCAAAAAAAAAAAGATTTATTAAACATGCTTTTCCTTGTTTTTCTGTAGTGTGTTGTCTGGCATGACAGATGCAGTATTGGCTCGAGTGTATAAACAATCAGATCTGGACACTCTGGCTAAAGAAGCATCCATTCCAATTGTCAATGGACTGTCAGACCTGTATCATCCTATCCAGATCTTGGCTGATTACCTTACACTCCAGGTTAGTATATTTCTTGCTTTACAAAAGAACAAAACTCATAATTCCTAACATTTAATCAGGAGCAAGTTAGTGAAACCATTTACTTAAATAATGGTATTTAATCATCATTTCAATTTGTCTCCATCTGCCTTAAAAATTATAGGGGCTGGGAAGTTGGCTCAGTGGTAGAGCACTTGCCTTGCATGCATGAGGCCCTGGGTTCGATTCCTCAGCACCACATAAGCAAAAAGAAAAAACCAGAAGTGGCGCTGTGGCTCAAGTGGTAGAGTGCTAGCCTTGAGCTGAAGATCTGGGGGACAGCACCCAGGCCCAGAGTTCAGGCCCCACGACTGGACCCAAAAAAATAAAAAAAAATAAAAAAATTATAATATATAAGTGCATACTATGTATGTGCATCTAAGGGAAACAAGGCACTTTAAAAAAACTAACTTTAGGGCTGGGAAGGTGGTTCAGTTGTAGAGTACTAGCCTCCAATGCATAAGTCCTTGGGTTCTATTCCTCAGCACCACTTAAGCAGAAAAAGTGATAGAGTGCTAGCCTTGAGCTGAAGAACTGAGGGACAGCACCCACTTAACCACCAGAAAACCGGAAGTGGTGCTGTGGCTCAAGTGATAGAGTACTCGCCTTGAGCTGAAGAGCTGAGGGACAGCGCCCAGGCCCAGAGTTCAAGCCCCAAAGCCAACCAAAAAAAAAAAAAAGCGGATAAAGGAATAAATTAAAAAAAGAGAAAAAGCTAACTTTAAGATGCTTCTGTTCTCATCCCTGTTTCCAAACCACTTGGCACCTCTTACATCTTCTGTTCTTTCAATCCCTGCTTTTTTTTTTGTTTGTTTTTGTCAGTCGTGGGGCTTGGACTCTGGGCCTGGGCACTGTCCCTGAACTCTTCTGCTCAAGGTTAGCGCTCTACCACTTGAGCCACGGAGCCACTTCTCAATTACTGCTTTTTTTTGGTGCCTTTTTTTTGGGGTGGGGGGAGGTCCTGTCCCTCAGCTCTTCAGCTCAAGGCTAACACTCTACCACTTGAGCCACATCGCCACTTCCAGATTTTTTTTTCTGCTTATGTGGTGCTGAGGAATCGAACCCAGGGCCTCAAGCATGCACGGCTAGAGCTCTACCACTGAGCCACCTTCCCAGCCCTTTTGGTGCCATTTTTAACACAACATATCAACAGGGAATGCTAGAGCATATAGCATAGAAAGAGATGTGTGATCCTACATACATCAAAAGTCTATAGTTGGGAGTGAAAACCAGTAGATTTTGTTTTGAATATTCAAAATGACAAATTATTATTTAAAAATTGAAAGAGGAATCACTTTCTATCATTTCATAAACTGGACTTTTTTCAGTTGTATGATTTTATTTTCTCCCTTCAACCATAATAATATGGCATCCAAATTTTGTCTTAACTGGTGGGTCCGTATATATAGGCTTATCCATCCCACTCAGAGCCACTTTTTCCTTTAGGCAGCATCTTCTAAACTTGCTGTTGAACTCCCCCATAAAATGGATTTTTAAAAAATAGTGTTAAGCCTGTGTGCTAGTATCTCAGAATATTAAGATTTGAGAATCAAGTTTTGAAAACAGCTGGCAGGAATAGCTGAGATTCTTATCTTCAATTAGCCAGAAAAAGAAGTAGAGGTGTGTCTAAAGTGGTAGAGTGACAGCTTTAAGCAAAAAATCTAATGGAGAGCACCCTGGCCCTGAATTCAAGCTCTACTATTAACATACATATAAAAAAATAGTGCTGGGGATGGGAAGGTGAATTAGTGGAAAGTTCTTGCTTCACATGCATGAGGTCCTTAGTTCAATTCCTCACCACCACATAAACAGAAAAATCTATGTCACTAGTTCAAGTGGTACAGCACTAACCTTGAGCTAAAGAGTTGAGGGACAGTTCCCAGGCCCAGGGTTCAAGTCCTATGACTGACCAAAAAAATAGTGTTAAGGCATGCTGAATATACAGAGTTGAGAGTCTCATTTATCCGTGTCTTCCCAACTGATGAACTTGGTAGCTTTGAAAGAATTATTTGGCTTGGTGTACCACAGCTAATCTACATGGTTTGGGCACTTGACATGATAACCATGATTTGTGTGCCAGTAGATGATTCTGAGAAGACAGGGCTGAGGAGGCCCATTTTCTTCCCCATTGGAATATGCTACACACATTTAAATGTGAACTGAACTCAAAATGAAGCTGTTCAGAGATAAGGACAGGATCTATGCAGAAAAGATGAAACAACAGTGTGAGATACGAAGTTCCTCTCTGTGTCTCTACATAGACACCAAACATTTTATTCTTTCTGTCTGGTGCAATGAACTGTTCATAGAGTTCCCTGCAGGATCTTATGAAATGCCTTTATAAAAGAGATACAAATAATAAGATTTCAGTGAATAAATAGCAGCTAATTAAAGGCATATGATATGCTGAACACCTGTGGCTCACACCTATAATACTATGTTATTAGGTGGCTGAGATCTTTGTTCAAAACCATTCTGGGGAGTCTATGACTCTTATTTCCAATTAACTACCAAAAAAGTTAGATGTGGAGCTGTGGTTCAATTTGTAGAGCCCTAGCCTTGAACAAAAAAACTGAGGGACAGTGCCCTGGCTCTGAGTTCAAGCCCCACGGCTAGCATGCACAAAAGCATATGATGTAAACCAGAAGGACCCAGATTTAAATCCTAGCTTAGTCATCTAGTAATTCTGTGATCTGCAAATTGCATAGCATTGCTTTTTTAAATTTTGCCATAAGAAATAAGTAAATAGATATAGAAATAAATATGGGTATCCATGTGCCTAATACATAGTTTTATCAAATCCATTTTGGGATTGTGTAACGTCAGGATTGGAACCCAAGACCTCAAGAGTGCTAAGTGAGCTCTCGTGCCACATGAAATCCTAATAACCATGGTTTGAATTACACCTTGGCTAATTTTGTCACATTTTAACATGATTGATAATTACTTCAGAATTATTTATTGCTTGAAAATAAGATGTTACTGATAGAAGTGAAATTCACTGGCTAATGTCACCTGATCCCATTTACTTCCAACACTACAAAGAAGTTTTTCTGATGTTTGCTACTGTAATTCTGAGGCAGGTGCTTATCCTTTATATACAGTATTATTGGGCATATTTCTCAGCCTTTGATAAATGAGAGGATGCTCAGAGGCAATCCACTGTTCCAGGTGCATTATATTTCCCATATTTTTTTGTTTTTCTTAGGTGGGGATGACATTAAAGAATGACCTTATTTTTATTTATTTTTGTCGGTCATTGGGCTTGAACTCTGGGCCTGGGTGCTGTCCCTGAGCTCTTTAGCTGAGGGCGAGCACTCTACCACGTGAGCCACAGTGCTACTCCTTTGTTCTTTGTTATCTAAGGTTAATGACCATGTGTGAACACTGAAGGTTTTTGTTTGAGTAAATAGAACAGAGATTCAGATTTGAAATGAGTGAAAATCTGAGTCTGCACGTAATTATATAATGTATTTGTTTAATTCATTAGGACTTTTTACTATTATAATTGTACAAGACAATATTAAGTTGTTATTAAATTTAGTAACATGTTATTGAATTGTTCTGAACAATGCAAAAAATAGTACTTTATTGATTCCAACCACTTTTATTTTTTGCCGGTCATGGGGCTTGAACTTGGGACATAGGCATTGTCTCTGAGATTCTATTGCTCAACGAGAGCACTCTACTGGAATCAGAGTACCACTTCCAGCCTTTTCTGTTTATGTGTTACTGGGGAATCAAATCCAGGGCTTCATACATGCTAGGCAAGCACTCTACCACCAAGCCACTTTTCCAGCCCCAGAGAAGACCGTTTTCAAAAAAAAAAAAGGATTTCATCTTCAATTTAATCTTCTTCATCTCTTACCTTTTAGGAACACTACGGCTTTCTCAAAGGTCTTACCCTCAGCTGGATAGGGGATGGAAACAACATCCTTCACTCCATCATGATGAGTGCAGCAAAATTTGGGATGCACCTTCAAGCAGCTACTCCAAAGGTAGGGGAACTTTCTGCCTTGAAAAAAGCCCCACTTAAGTCACATGCAATTACCCAGTGAAAATAAAGCTCAATTTCAGTCAATGGCAATATAGGTGAGGCCCCAAAACTGAGATTATATTACTAGCCCTACAATTCAATAGCTATGTGGCCTCTTAAGAGCCCAATTTCCTTATTCTACAATAAGAACTAGTCTTGGCTGAAGCCTTTCATTCTGTGAGTCTAGGTTAAAAAAGCCTGTCTGAATCATCCCTTTTAATGTCCTGTTACGAGCCATTATGATGACTGGCATCCTTGTGCATTACCAGTACACAGGCTGAAGAAAGCAGTGAAATCTAGACTACATGAAACTCATCAATGCATGAGAATGATGGTATCATTTTTTTCCTAACACTGTAATTTGATAGAATGTCAATCCAATAAGAAGTTCATAGTGATAGCATCTATACCAGCTCAGGGTTTCAAACCTCATCTCTGGAAGCCCCTTGCTTTTAAAAGGAAAAATGTATTTTTAAAAGAGATTTGAGCTGGGTGCCAGTGGCTTAGGCCTGTAACCCTAGTTACTCAGGAGGCTGAGTCAGCCCAGGCAGGAAAGTCTTCGAGACTTATCACCAATAAACCACTAGAAAACCAGAAGTGGTACTGTGCCTCAATTAGTAGAGTGCTAGCCTTGAGCTGAAGAGTGCAGGGACAGCTTCCAAGGCCAGAGTTCAAGCCCCATGACCCACAAAAGAGAGGGGGGGGGAAGAGACCTGATATTTAGCTCTTAAAACCTATTGTTAGTTAAATTTTCAATGATGATTAAAAATCTTCTGTAAATTAGAATTATCAGTGCTTAAATGATTTCTTAGAAAAATGCGGTTTTAGACATTAACTTTTGCAGTTTTGAGCACTTATCTGGAAAGTATTTTAAACAACCAATGGATTACTGAACATTCTAATAGTAACTCAAGTACATCTTGTGTTTATTTTATTTTAATTTTGTCAGTCATGGGGCTTGAACTCCAGGCCTGGGCACTGTCCCTGTGCTCTTTAGCTCAAGGCTAGCACTCTAACACTTGAGCCACAGCGCCACTTCAAGTACATCTTTTGATTCAGAAAATAAATCCTATTCTTCAAAGTAAGAAAAAAAGTAAAAATTAACCCCACAACAGACTTAAACACAAACCAGCCCGAAAGATCCCCATAAAATAAGTACCCTATTACTACTGAATTCTGTTCTCCATTATTTCTCACTTGGCTAAGGTTCAGAAGTCTTTTGAAAGGAAAAACAAACACACAGTAAAAACCAATTCAATCTAGCATAGTAGTTCATGCCTGTAATCCTAGCTACTCAGGAGGCTGAGTTCTGAGGATCATAGTTTCAAGCAACCTGAGTAGGAAAGTCCCTGTGAGACTCTTACCTCCAATAAGCTATTCAAAAAAAGTGCCAGAAGTAGCTCAAGTGGTAGAGTGCTAGCCTTGAGCACAGAGAGGCTCAGGGATAGTGCCCAGGCCCTGAGTTCACGCCCCAGGACAGGCAAAAAAAATTTAAAAAAGTAAAAAATTAAAGTCATTTCAGAAACAAAGTCTTGGTTTATGACAAAAATAGTTTTGGTCTTTGTATTGTATTAAGAGAAAGCTTTTCAAAATGAGACATTGTACACCAATGTCTCTGACTGAGCATGTTTACCATTATCTTGATAGATAGCTGTCCCAGTTCGGGCTCTGAGAAGTTAATGCATCCTAAACTGAATATGAAGGATCTACAAGTCTTTCCCTGCTTCTGCTCCTTGAGCTTTAACTACCAAGAGCTTAGATGGCACAATGTGGGTTAATATCTGAATTTCTCCAGTAGGAACACTCAAATCCTTGAATTTTTCAACCCTTTTCAACCTTCACTAGTATCTCAGACCAGCTTCCCCACAAGCAGACCCCCTAATGGGAATTTGTGTACAGGTGAATTTTCTTCTGAAGTGACCAATGGGGGACTAGTGAGGAATAGTGAGGTTCCATGCTCCATTTACAGTGACTTTTCCCTAGAACTGGGAGATTTCTGGGGACAAGAATTCTTTATTCAGCGCGAAAATTATGTGTCCTGAGAGATTTGGTGAGATTTAGTCACCCTTGTTTAAGTAGCTTTGGCTACTCACCCCTGAATGAGCTATTGAGTGTAAGTTAGGTCTCAAAGGTGTTCTAACCTAGGAGAATGGTGAACTTTTATCTTTATGAACCAGTCTCTAGGGAAGGGCAGCAGAAGAGTGGGTTGTGAAGTTCCCTGTGTCTTTCCACTAGAAAATCAGTCTTGTAGCCAGAAGCTCCTTCTGAGAAAAAGCTGAAAGTGTTAAGCATCAAAAACACACTGGCCAGGCGCTGGTGACATGCATCTGTAATCTTAGCTCCTCAGAAGGCTGAGATCTGAGGATCAAAGTTGAAAGCCAGTCTGGGCAGGAATGTCCATGAGGCTCTTATCTCCAATTATTAACCACAAAAAAGCTAGAAGTAGAGCTGTGGTTCAAAAGGTAGAGCACTAGCCTTGAGCACAGAGAGGCTCCAGGACAGTGCCCAGGCCCTGAATTCAAGCCCCAGGCTTGGCAAAACAAACTAAAAACCCCACAAATTAGGGAAAGGCAAAGAAGCCATTGAAAGTATCCTCTGAAGGAATCCTGATAGCAATCTGTATCATTGCTTTCTTTTGCCAGGACAAAATGTCCAATCTCTACCTTCATTATCTTCCTTCTTTGGCCATGTGTGTCTCTTCATGTCTTCATGTACAAACATTCCTCTATTTATTTATTTTTATTTTTTGGGTCCAGTCATGGGGCCTGAACTCTGGGCCTGGGCGCTGTCCCTCAGCTCTTCAGCTCAAGGCTAGCGCTCTACCACTTGAGCCACAGTGCCACTTCCGGCTTTTTTTTCTCTTTTGCTTATGTGGTGCTGAGGAATTGAACCCAGGGCCTCAGGCATGCAAGGCAAGTTCTCTACCACTGAGCCACCTTCCCAGCCCCTCCTCTCTTTATTTATAAAGACTAACATTACATTTAGTCCCACCCTAATTCATTATCATCTTGTTTTAGCTAACTATATCTGCAGAGTAAGGTCACATTCAGAGGTTGTGCGTTGGCATGCATTTTTTGTTTTGCTTTGTAGTAGCCACACCCTAGCTCTAGGTTGTGAATTTTTTTAGCACAGTGCTCAACCCAGAGTACCTGCCATAGAACTGGCAGGCATATGCAGAACCACACTGGAAACCCTCCTATTACATTTAATTTTGGTGACATGACTCTTTCAACAGAGAATTCTTTAGCATGTACTGAAATGAAGGGTCAGATGTGACATCTGCTGATGGTAGCTTTTAGTCACTTAATGAGAAGGATGAACACACTTGCTACAAATGTAATCTGAGGAAAGGCTTGTTTTAAGGCAAACTATGATTGCATTTTGGATTGTACAGATAAAGCATACATTAACAATAATTGTTCTCTGCTATAAGGTGCTTTTGGAAAAGCTTTATTCTGTTGAAGAAATACATGCTTTAAACATTTTATTGCATGTCAAAGATGTTTTATTAACACCAAAGGGAAAATTTCCAATATTACAGAGTAATTTCAGTATTGTTCTTATGCAGAGACTCATTTAAATGATAAAGAATATAAAACCCAGTTAAGGATAGGAGTAGGAGTTTTTGAAACCTGTTGGAAAGTGTGATAGTTCAGATGTCAGTCCATCAATTTGTAAGTCTTCAGTTGTAATGGAACTATTTCCTTTCAAGATAAAGGTAGGAGATTTATTGTAAGTTTATGAAATGCTGAAAGGTTCCAAATCTATAGCCAATCCATTTTCCCATTCTTCAATCAAAAATAACATACGTGTTTAAAAACTGATTACTTTGCCTATGATAGTAAAATTGTTCATAAACTATCGATTATAATGATTTTAGCATTGTTTAAATTGAATATTTAGACGGAGTTCAGTTTGTTAGTGACCTCCTTCATCCCGTCTTTAAATTTATGTAAAGACCAGTGAATGAATTAGTATTGAAAGATGAGATATGAGTAAAGAATTCCTCTCTGTAATCTAAGTCATGGCGCAGTGTGTGCAAGGTTGGGTGATTTTTCTAATTTCCAAACATCTCTCTTGGTTCTCTAAGTACTTATTGATTCCTTCTCTAAGAATGATTATACTGAGAGAGTAAAGAACCTGCTCTCTTAAAGGGAAGTCTGAAGTTCTAGGGCCGTAGGCTCCTGATGTTCACAACATGAGTTACCAAGTTAGCTAGCCTTTCTTAATTACTTTCCGTTGTGAATGTGCTTAAAATGTCTGTAGCCATCATCACCACTATCTTAGTAGTTTGTCTTAAGAAATTTGCAGTGGGAACAAACTTCATGTGCATGTATACATAAGCTTAAGTTCAAATGAAGAAACCTGGATATTCTTGTTGGGAAACAGAATCTTCAGGCTTAGTGTGCACAAGGTGCAAGAACTCTTTCAAAGAGAGTGTGGCCTTGAAATCAGCATGGAAAGAAACAGAAGGAAGCAATAGTGAGCAGAGGGAGAAAGGGAACTATTACAGCAATCTATTGAAGCAGTCCCAATACCAGTCTTGGTCAACTTATGGTGTACTCTGGATCTTCTATCACCATTTGGAGCTGTCTGGGTCAAATGAATCAAGTTTTTATACCCCCATCCTCATGAATCACTCACTAAATATGGGACCCTGGAAAAGGTATGTGACCTTGGGAGAGGTGGCTCTCTGTAGTTGAAGCTGTACCCCCAAGGAGGCTGACAGTTGAAGGCCATCATCTAGCACTCCAGCAACTGGGAGGAAATATATCCTTTATTCATGATTATTCATGAAGTAGAGCTGGTATGCAAATCACAACACTCCCTATGATTCCCCACTGAAAAGTCTTAAAAAATCAATTCATACTAAATGCTAAGAATTCCAGAAAAGGAGAAAGATTGAGGAAGATGAGCATGAAAAGGGTATTTGACCTGACAAGACTTTCATATGAAGGGTTTGAAAGTGAGACTGGCTGAAAAATGATGAAAATACCCAGGAGAGGGGCTGGGAAGGTGGCTCAGTGGTAGAGCGCTTGCCTTGAGCTGAAGAGCTGAGGGACAGTGCTCAGGCCCAGAGTTCAGGCCCCACGACCGGACCCCCCAAAAAAGAAAATACCCAGGAGAGGACAAAGGTAGTGGTAGGTGTTCAGGAGTAGAAAACTGTGATGGCAGAAAAGAGCAAGATGTGTACAGGGACAACAGAATTGCCTTCAGCAAGCTATTGAGAATTAGAAGAAACAGATGCCAGGAATGTGGGCAGAGAATCTCGATGCTCTTAATCAGCTTTGACTGAAGAAACAAGTTGCAAACATGGAAGGCTTAGAAGAAAACAATTCTTGCTGTTGTGTACAGATTAGCTTGGGGGAGGGGCTAAAGAGATGATATCTGTGGGGTTTGGACTGTGGTGCCCTCCAGAATGTCCCTTCACCTAGAGCTGGGACATGGGAGACACTTAGGAAAGAAAATAATCCTAACAATGAATGTCTCCTGTGTGCTTTATGTTACCTCACTTTGCCTCACCAGTCTTACAAATATATACTTTTTAGGAAAATACAATGTACTTGTGTAAAAACTTGGAGCAAGCCCGCTAGAAAAGAATAAAGAAGTGTGTGTATGTGGGGGTCTGCTAGTATTTAGCTCAAGTGATCACAGAGGGCTTTTCTGAGGAGGGCATGTTTAAATAGACCTGAAAAATGTTATCCATGTGGAATGGATGAGGAAAAGCATTTCAGATTTTAAAAGAACAGCATGTGGAAAGTCTCAGGCAAAAAACACATTACCCTTTACAATTATGTATATAATCCTCTTAAGCTATTAGGGGAATAAAAAGGGGGCCTGCCAAGAGCTAGAAAGCACCATATTCTATGTTTGTCTTTATGACTGAAGAGGCCAGGCATAATCAAGGAAAGACGGGAGCAATTAGCTGCCTCTTCAAATTCTGAAAGGCACTGTGACAATCTGAAATTCTAGTTATTAAAAAAAGACTCCATTCAACTGAACATGGTTGGGCTACATCTTTAAAAAAGGGAAGAAGAGATAAACTATTCTTGAATACAGAATAATGCAGTATAAGAAAACATATGGAATTCAGTTTCCTCAATAACAGTTAAATTCTTCCTGCAGGGTTATGAGCCGGATCCTAATATAACCAAGCTCGCAGAGCAGTACGCCAAGGAGGTATGTATGTTCCCTGTGTGGTAAGCTAGGCTTGTCTTTCTCTGTCTCATGAAACTGTTTAACCAGCATGCTTCTATATGCTAGAATGGTACCAAACTGTTGATGACAAATGATCCATTGGAAGCAGCGAATGGAGCCAATGTACTAATTACAGACACTTGGATAAGCATGGGACAAGAAGAAGAGAAGAAAAAGCGGCTTGAGGCTTTCCAAGGTTACCAGGTTACAATGAAGGTACAAATTGATACCTCTCTGAAGGTTCATTAATTCCATTTATAATGGCTAGAGCCATCTAATCACTTATTCACTTTTAGGAAGGGCAGGCTGTCCTTTCATACTTTCAAAAGGACTCACTGTGTCTATCCTCCAGGGATTTCTCTCCTCTCAAAGATTTAGCCGTGTCCTTTTGGAAAGACACTTCTTGTGCTAGACAAAGGAATCTGAAACCTAGGCTGCAGAATTTTCCCACTCTTTCCACTGTAGAGGTATCAGAATGCTTTATTCTATGTATGCTTTAAGACATCAGCTTAGTTTTGTTGTTGTTGTTGTTTTATCAAAAAATGCAGTTTCTTTTACTTCACTGGGAAAAATCCTATCAGACTAGTTCTTGCTTCTTCTGTTTCTTAAAGATTCCTCAGTGCAGGTGGTTTTGTCAACTACCTCCAGGACTTTTTTCCAGGGCACTCTCCAGCCCAGGCAGGAAACTCCGCGAGACTCTTTATGTCCAATAAACCAATAGAAAACTGGAAGTGCCACTGTGCTCAAGTAATAAAGCACTTGCCTTGAGCTGAAGAGTGCACAGACAGTGTCCAAGTCCAGAGTTCAAGCCCCATGACAGACAAAAAAAAGTGCGACATGAAGTACTTAAGAAAAAATATTACAAAATAAACAAGAAAAATTCCAAGTTTAAAAATTTCTGGCTTAAAATAATAAAATTTACATTTCCTTCATTACTGATGAAGTTAAGCATCTTTTCATGCTTTCTGGTTATTTCTATTTCTTTTGCTTTGAACTAGATATCATATGTTTTCCCATTTTCTGTTTTTTACCCTTTTTTATTATTGGCTTGAAGTGCTCCTTATACATTATGGATAATTCTTTGTTATATACATTGCAAGTAGTTTCATAGAGATTTTAAATTGCTTATGGTTTATTTCATGCATTCTTTGGGTGATTTTCTAGTGCTGAGCGTGTAGGCTTGAGAAAGTTATTTTACTGATGCATGACAGGTACCAATGTTACTCCTTTTTCATGTCATTTTGCTGGTATTTTAGAAACTCTATTGTTCTGAACGTGGAACAAGGGTAGAAGTAAAACAAAATTTAAGTACAAAGGCAGTAATTTTGAGGTAGGCAAGTATAAAGAATTTAGCTTTGAATCTGTAAGTATATAGTGGAAATGGACAGGATAATGTAACTTACAGGAATTACACTTGCATTAAGAATGAAATATCCAGGGCATTGTGCTCATAATTCTATTTAATGTATTTCTTTCATTCCTCTGTGCTTTTTTCAAAATTGTTTCTATTTGTGACACAGTATGCTTCAAGTGTCAAAAATGATCACTTGGAGAGAAGTTTAGATAATACTATTGTATTACAGCAATTTTCAAATGTGTTTTGAGGTATGATTGGTTACTTGCTATCAACCACATGTTACAGGATTGTAGTGTACTATCTAACTAGGCAGAATATCAGAAAACTGAGCTAGTAGTTTAATTTGAAATGATGGTTTCCTTGTGTTAAAAAGTAACTGGTTAGTGACTCATGCCTATAATCCTAGCTACTCAAGGAGCCTGATATCTGACAATCATCCTTTAAATCCTGCCTGGACAGAAAAATCTAGGAGATTCATCTCAAATTAACCAGACAAAAAAAGCCATAACTACAGGTGTGGTGTGGTTCAAGCACTAGTGAGAACTAGCTCGCTTTCTGCAAACCAGTATAGGTTGTATAAAATTATATTCTAATCTTTTTGAAAATATAAAAGCTCCTAATTCAGTGCCCAGTATAAAATAAGCATTTAGAAAACCATCTTATTCTTTTTCTCCTCTCTTTCCTCCTTTCATTCCTTTCTTAATGACTTGTCAAGCTAAAAGGGAAATGGCTGAGCACTAGTCCAAGACTATGAGTTCAAGTTCCAGTACTGCCACAATAGCTTTTTTAAAGTGACTTTGGAATTCCCCAAGTTGAAAGAACTGTATACATTTACCTTAGGTATCTTGAACTTTACTCTGCCTCTTTATTCTTTGTTTGTATTGATCTGTGAATTATGGACATGTGTGTTTTGAAATACTGGCTGAAGAAGATACATGAATGATTGTTGCAGACAATTATCAAAAACATGATTTTACCCTCTTTAGACTGCTAAAGTTGCTGCCCCTGACTGGACATTTTTACACTGCTTGCCCAGAAAGCCAGAAGAAGTAGATGACGAGGTGTTTTATTCTCCACGATCATTAGTGTTCCCAGAAGCAGAAAACAGAAAATGGACAATCATGGTAAGCAAGAAATGAGGGATAGAAAGATAAAGAATTTTCTATGTGGTTCTAACTTGGCCATGAGTGCTTCTTGTTAAATAATAAGCAACCAAGATTATCTAGCTATATTACTTATTTACGTGACATCTATTTTTGTCCAGAAAGTTTATAATAGATCATTATTTCTCATTAGCATTTATAGTGTATTTTAATGGAATAAAATTGATCCCCTTCCAAATGCACAAACTTTAATCAAAATTCTTAATGCCCTTGATTGGCCTAAGAACTTGCTGCTATTTTCTGCTAGCCATTATAGGTTATATGACTCTTATTTTCTAATCTGTTTGAAATTATAGAAGCTCCTACTTAAGTATCCACAAAAATAGGCATTCAAAAGTCCTAGTTCTTTCTTTTTTTCCCCTCCTTTCATTCTCTTTTTATGATTTGACCAGATAATTGTTTTAGCTCTGTATTCAAATTTGGCAAGAAAAATCCATTTGGTTTTAGGTATAAAATATTTTGAAAATTCATGAAATGTTTTATATTCTGGGAAGGTGGCTCAGTGGTAGAGTGCTTGCCTTGCATGCATGAGGCCCTGGGTTTGATTCCTCAGCACCACATAAGCAGAAAAAGCCAGAAGCGGTGCTGTGGCTCAAGTGGTAGAGCACTCGCCTTGAGCTGAAGAGCTAAGGGACAGCACCCAGGCCCAGAGTTCAGTTCCATGACTGGCAAAAAAAAAAGAAAAAGTTAATTAGTCCCTTTCGGATAAATCTACTAGTCATCCTTATCACTGCCATTCTGATTTTAAAGTAATTTTTTAAGATTAAGTGATTACATAAATTTCACAGTATTGTGTGATAGTGATACTCTAAATCACAAACACATTTTAACCTTCACAAGGCAAAGTTTCATTATCATGGTCTATTATGTTTGTGACTTTTACAGGTTTTGACAATGGAACTATTTCTTTCACACTAGGAGATATGTACATATCTAGGAAATACTTTTCTTAATTCTGTTTTATAATATTCCTCTGGAAGACTGAAAAATCACGTCATAAATTAGTTCCATTATTTTTCAGATTTAAGTGATTTAACGGATCTCAGTTGACATACTAGCAAGCATCCTACTTGCAAACAACAGCATCCATTCTACGTGGATTAATGGATAGAAATTTATTAAAATACATTTATGAGTTCCCAGAGCTTTCAAGAAAAGGGGGTGGGTTTGTGAATCATTCTTAGACACTACACAGCCCTGCACAATATAGGCAGGAAGACGGCTCCAAACTATGATATGTTGTTTATAGCCAGAAAACCACTGACATTTGCCACTCCCAGCTTGGTTTCTAAGGCCTTTGAAACCAGATGCTTAATTATAACTACCGTGTTTGTAACAGGATACTTCTACCTGCATATAGAGGAAGATATCTAGGGTCCCAGAGAATGGTTTCCACTGCATGCTCTCGTCATATATATCCATGTCTCATATGTATCACAGCTGAAATGTTTTCTTGGAAATACAGTTTTAGATTTTTTTTTTTTTTTGCTGGTCCAGGGGCTTGAACTCAAGGGCTCTACCACTTGATCCACAGTGCCACTTCTGGTTTTTGTGAGTAGCTTATTGTAGAGTTTCATGGACTTCACTACCTGGGCTGTCTTTGAATCATGATCTCCAGATCTCAGCCTACTCAGTAGCTAGAATTATTTAGCTTTTAACCTCTGGAAAGGACTGCTAGCTAATTACTATTCAATCTATAAGTAAAGATGTTATTGTGTGGAGCTGGGAAGGTGACAGTGGTAGAGTGTGTGTCTTGCACGCATGAGGCCCTCGGTTCGATTCCTCAGCGCCACATAAGCAGAAAAATCTAGAAGTGGGGCTGAGGCTCAAGTGGTAGAGCGCTGGTCTACAGCTAAAGAGCTGGGGGACAGCGCCCAGGCCCAGAGTTCAGGCTGCACAACCTACAAAAAATAGTTATTGTGGACATTAAGTAATAAATGTAAATACTTTCGTACAGTGCCTAATACATTATAAATGGTATCATAATTATCATAAGCAGTTTCTTCATTTTGATCTGATACTATGAACTACAAATGTTCAAACACCATTGTAGCTCCTGGAAAGCAAGTCACTACTGTCTTTTGTAGTATCATGCCTCAGTTTGTCAAAGCAAGGATTTTTTTTTGATGGTCTTAGGGCTTAAACTCAAGGCCTGGCACTGCCCTTGAGCCTCTCTACTCAAGGGTAGTGCTCTACCACATGAGCCACCGCACCACTTCCGGCCTTTCCTGTTTATGTGGTACTGAGAACTCCAACCCAAGGCTTTACACATGCTAAGCAAGCACTCTAACACCAAGCCACATTTCCAGCTCAAGGATTTTTATTTTGGGATGTGAGGGCGATCTGGCTGGCTAGGCGGGTGTCCCCTGCCTCTCTCACCGCTCCATGTGCGTCCCTCCTGAAGCTGCGCGCTCGGTCGAAGAGGACGACCATCCCCGATAGAGGAGGACCGGTCCTCGGTCAAGGGTATACGAGTAGCTGCGCTCCCCTGCTAGAACCTCCAAACAAACTCTCAAGGATTTTTATTTTGGTTGGTCATGGGGATTGAGCTTTGGGCATGGGCGCTCTCCCTGAACTCTTCAGCTCAAGGCTAGTGCTCTACCACTTGAGCCACACTACCACTTCTGGTTTTCTGGTTATTAATTGGAGATAACAGTTTCTTGGACTTCCCTGCCCAGGCTGGCTTTGAACTGTGATCTCAGCCTCCTTCATAGTTAGGATTACAAGCGTGAGCCACCACCAGCCCAGTGATTTTTTTTTTTAAGCTGCATCTTTGGCCACCTCTATACACTAACTGACTAAAATAGCAATTGTCCTGTCACTTAGACCATGCTTCTGAAGCCTCAGAGTGCATTTAAATCTCATAGGTAAGTATGTACGTGCAGATTCAGATTTAATAGACATCAGATGAGGTGCAAGATTTACTATTTCTAATAAGCACTCAAGTAATTCAGTGTCCTGTGGACCACATTTTGAATAACAAAAGCTTAGATGACAAAAATGAATATAGTATTTTCTTCCACTTCGAGAAGCTCCACTTGTCATCAGAAGGCAATATATGGTGCAAAGATAAATCAACCTAACCTGTTAAAATAGATTGTAGAAATTCAGGGGAAATTTTTTCCTTACAATCTCAGTTATGGAGATGCTTTACACTGCTAAATTTTTAGAGCTTGTTACACATCTTTACTTAAAAATTTAGACACCTAATACATTAACATGATTGAAATGTTTAACAGGACATACCCATTTTCATCCACTTCTCTATTCCCTGTTCTTCTGAGATGCCCACCATTATTCCAAAAAATTTTTTTAGAAAAGCCAGGCACCGGCTCTTGCCTGTAATCCTAGAAACCCAGGAAGCTAAGATCTGAGAATCTCAGTTTGAAGCCATCCTTGGCTGGAAAATCTGTGAGACTCTTTATCTCCAATGAACCATCCAGAAACTGGAATTGGCTCTGTGGCTCAAAGTGGTAAGAGTGCTAGCCTTGAGCCAAAGAAGCTCAGAGATAGTGCCCAAGCCCTGAGTTCTAGCCCCAGAACACACAAAAAAATTAGAGATATCAAGAAGCAGAACCATGTTAAAATATTAAAGTAGAAAGTATGCTTAAAGTGAGATTGAAGAGAACTTCTATATTGGCTTAATACTAGTGTTGTCATGGATAAACATTATCTCTGTAAATCCGTTTCCTCTACCATAAAGTAAGTAGATCTGTTCCAAGACTTTTAATCTTAGGTCCATAATCTTATCAGCAGGCTACTTGGAAAAAGATGTGTTTCTACATGTGTTAGGAGATGAAGTGCTGTAATTATTAGTTGGCATGACATGCTGCTGCAAAGATGACAATACATATGTTATACTCTTGTCCAGCGGCTGGGTAGTTTGGTAATTTGCAGCAGCCATACTGTACTAGCATCTACTCTGTTCAAGGTCTTTTATGCATTATACATCTTTAAAAAGCAGAAATAATAATTTTTAAATAAGTTTTTTTATTGTGAAAATACTGTACAGAGGGGTTACAGTTACATGAGCAAGGTAATGAGTACATCTCTTATCAAGCATTGTTGCCTCTTCCTTTTGATTTTCCGCTACCATCCCTTCCCTCCAATCTACACAACTGCACTCCTCCCCACTGAAATAATAATTTTATGCAATCTCGTCATACTATGCAATCCAGAATTGCATAAAATTTTCAAGCAGGATGAAATCTTAAGATTATCTAGACTGAATTTTTCTTCTGTAGGCAAAGCTTATTTAGTTAGGCTCAATTCTGCTGTGGCAGATTTTTCTGTTCAGGGATAATTCTTATTTACCTTTATGACTACTCTATCAAACACAAAGCTGCTAGGCATATATGGATATTTAAATTTAAATTCAATACAACCCAGTCAGTTCCTAAGTCATATAACCACACAATCCATATTAATTGCTCAATACTAGTGGCTACCATAATAGAGAACAGAGAGAGAACATTTTCTTCACTGTATATAGTTCAGTTAGAAACACTACAATCAGATAATGACTTTTTCCCCCCACACTCATCATTGAAAATTGGGATGGAAGAAGAAAGGAAAAATACAATCTGGCCTCCATTTCTGAGATACCTACAAAAACTGATGTAAGGTATTTAACTGGAAGAACATATTCCCAAAGTATAGAACAACTTGAAAGCCAAAGTTTATAATTTCAGTAACCAGAGTAATTTTGTTAAGGTCTCCATGCCGACTAATTTCCCAATGCTCTGTTAGAGCACTCTATTGATCACATCATTCTGTCAGCAACACGGGCCTTTGGATTCCTTTGTGTAAAAGTAAAAACAAAACACTCTTTGCTCTCCACAAAGCTTGAAATTTTTGTTTTTCACTAGCAGGTTTCTTCTACAGCCTGCTCAGTGTTATTGTGAAATGAATGTGTCCCAAGGTCATTCAGGAACTATAACACCTCAAAATACTGCTATCTGGGTGACCACTGAGTGCATATCACAGCTGTGAATGCAACTCATAGTTGCATAATATTTTACTTTTCTCTAAGCTAAGGTTTCCAGATGAAATACAGGATATCCAATTAAATTCAGTAAATAAGGAATACATTTTAGTATAAGCATGTCAGATACAGTACTTAAAACACATTTGCAGTTAAAAAATGTGTTTATCTGGAATCCCTGCCAATGTGTATTTATTTTTTAATTTAGTCTGACAATTCTGCCTACTTCTATTTTTTTTTTGACTTGAAAACTGAACAACAAACCAAAACCTAAGATGTGCTCCCAAGAATCCATGAAAAAGCATAAAAATTTTTGCCTAAACTGGACACCGGTGACTTAAGCCTATAATCCTAGCTGCTCAGGAGGCTGAGATCTAAGGATCGCAGTTCAAAGCCAGCCTGAGCAGGAATATCTGTGAGACTCTTATCTCCAATTAAGCAGGAGAAATGGGGAAGTTCTACTGAGATCTGAGGTTCGTGGTTCAAAGCCAGCCCAGGTAGGAAAGTTTGTGAGACTCTTATCTCTAATAAACCACCAGAAAACCAGAAGTGGCACTGTGGCTGAAGTGGTAGAGCAATAGCCATGAGCTCAGGGACATTGCTCAGGCCCAGAGTTCAAGCCTCATGGCCGACAAAAAAGCCTGGAGGTTGGAGGGAGCAAAAGTAAAAGTTGTTATTGGTGGGTGGCCTAGAGGAACTATGGTTTTAGCTATAGAGTTAATTAATACCCTTTTGAAGAGGACATATACTCAGCAAAAATTCTGATTAGTACCACTAGTCTCTTCTTATTACTTTGTATAGGATTTATCCTGAGCATTTTTAGGTTACAAAGTGACTAAACCACAGTATAAACATGAGGAACTGGAAGAGGAAGCATTATATTTCTCTTAAGAACAGCCAATACTTGGGTCCCAAATTATAACTATAGAAACTCTAAGCACAGCAATTACTATAATATCACACGGTATCAACTCCCTGACCTGGAATGAGGCTTAAGTAAGCATGATGTTTGCCTGTATATTTAGATCAGCATATTCCCTCAGGCTCTTTTTTTGTCCGTCATGAGGCTTGAACTCTGGGCCTGGGCAATGTCCCTTATCTCTCCAGCTAACGGCTATTGCTCTACCACTTTAAAAGAAAAGGAAAGAGCCTGAGCCAGGCACAGGCCTGTAATCCTAGCTACTCAGGAGGCTGAGATTTGTAAAGCATTTTAGAGCAGACATGGCTAAGGAGTGACATTTATGGCAAGGTCTGAATGACAAGAAGGGTCTCAGAAGGCCAAACTTTTTTTTTTTTTTTTTTGGTCGTGGGGCCTGAACTCTGGGCCTGGGCGCTGTCCCTCAGCTCTTCAGCTCAAGGCTAGCGCTCTACCACTTGAGCCACAGTGCCACTTCCGGCTTTTTTTCTCTTTTGCTTATGTGGTGCTGAGGAATTGAACCCAGGGCCTCAGGCATGCAAGGCAAGCACTCTACCACTGAGCCACCTTCCCAACCCCCTTAGAAAGCCAAACTCTTAAGATTAAAAACATTTACCAGGCAAAGTTTTTGTTGTTGTTGTTGTTCTGTTTTGTTTGTCAGTCATGGGGCTTGAACTCTGGGCCTGAGTGCTGTCCCTCAGCTCTTCAGCTCAAGCCAAGTGCTTTACCACTTGATTTTCAGTCTCCTGAGTAGCTAGGATTACAGGCATGTGCCTGGCTCAGGCTCTTTCCTTTTCTTTATCCATATAAAAATAAAAGTCAATTAGGACTCCCCCTCATCTTTTCCTTGAGAAAACACATTTTAACTAAAGCCTACCCTTCTCCTTCCTTAAATCCCAATGATGATTAAATGCTAATACTTCTTTGTTTCTTTCTCTTTCTTTGGTGTGTCATCTCAGGCTGTCATGGTATCTCTGCTGACAGATTACTCACCTACGATCCAGAAGCCAAAGTTTTGATGCCATGATGTTCATCGAGAGAAAACAATGTTCTTCAGTATCACAATGAATCAAGTTTATAGGAAAAAGAGAATTTCCTCTATGAATAAATCTCTAATATATTCTATGGGTTGCTGTGTGCTATTGATTTGTCATTATCAGACCTTGACACTTACTGAAGAGCCCAAGGGCTATAAGAGACTGACTAGTTTTTTTTTTTTTAATTTGTTTTTTGGGTCCGGTCGTGGGGCCTGAACTCTGGGCCTGGGCGCTGTCCCTCAGCTCTTCAGCTCAAGGCTAGCGCTCTACCACCTGAGCCACAGCACCACTTCCGGCTTTTTTCTTTTTGCTTATGTGGTGCTGAGGAATCGAACCCAGGGCCTCGAGCATGCAAGGCAAGTGCTCTACCACTGAGCCACCTTCCCAGCCCAAGACTGACTAGTTTTAAACACTCTAATTCACAATTTCAAAGTGACATTTGTTTATCATATGCATTTGCTTCAGCTATACATACATATAATACTGTCTGCATAATGTAGAGGTCATTAAATTAAGCTATACTTTTTGCTTAAAATTGATCACCCATGGTGATTTATATGTAAACATTTACCAAGTAGTCAACTGTTGGTAAATCTGTGTGTGGTCTCTGTTCATATCCCCCTGGGACCAACAAGGAAACCAAATTTTAATCCTGAAGATGTGCTGCAGTTTTCAGGTCAATGAAGGAAGATGGTTACTAATAGAGACTTCTCATGAAATTCTTAGAAGAAAATAGCTCTCACTGTGCCCAATTATTTCTGGAAAACCACGGAGTTGTTCATGAGCATGCATCTCTTCTCTGTAGTGAATACTTAATTCTTTTAAGCAAAAAGAAGTCTGCTAGCAAGGGGTAAAGCTCCTCCTACCAGGATAAGACTCATAGGAGTGACACCTTAGCTTTGGATCTTTCCAGCTGCAACTATTTATTTACATCTGTGGTTTAGCATACCATGCATTGAATATTTCCATAAAGCTACTACTCCAAATATGAACAAAAACCCTAGCAATAGGTGGGATATTTTATATTTCCGTATTTTATAATAATGGATAGTTTACTAATGATTTGACTATTAAGTCCCTGGGTGAAAAGATCTGCAAGGAACATGAGAAAGGCAATGCCACATTTAACTTTCAACCCACCTCTTGAACCTTACTTAAAATGGCAGAGCTCTCTTATTCCAATGCCAAACTTCTAGAGGAAGTCTTCTCATGTAGTACAAATGAGTGACAAATAAAGTGGTAAATAAATGCATGTGGAGAGGGTATTCAGAAGGTATTCAGAATAAACTCCTTTGAGGTCTTTTTATCTTGGAAGCTCTCATTGATGAATTAAATGAAGATGGTTTAGCCACATCTTAACCATCTGAGCCATGATGCCACTGAACAGACTCAGGACTGGTGTTTTGTTTTTTTTTTTTTTGACAAATATAAAGGATCAGACTGAGTAATAGAAGACTGGTTAAGTCATTATGATCAACCTCCTACAACAAGGAATACCATCTATTGCCAGATAAGTTGAGCCCTATGCAAAGGGAACAGGTGAGAGAGGTGAGTAAAGGTGAAACCTGGTTTGAACTTTGGTTACCAGCCCTTGTGACTCCTTCCAGCCAGGAGAAAAGAGTACAGTTTTGTAAGTTGACTACTCAGAGGAACACCTTCACTATTTTATAAGCGTGGATAAATGCTTTGTTTTAAATCACACAAAAGGTAGTATCGGGTAGATAGCCTTGAGTTCAATTTATATGAGATTTTTTTGTACTTGAGGCCAATGAAATAATGCTGTCACAGTTTTGTTTGCTCCGTTGTTTAAGCCCAAATAGAAGTGATCATGGCTATCCATCTTTGTGTGCTTGGTATATGACACAGATCATTGAAACAAATTGGAGAATCAACTCTGCAATTATGTAATATTTTAAAGAAATTCATATGTATATGTAATATATACACTTACCTATTGTCTGTTGTGGGGCTTGAACTCTGGGTCTGGGCACTGTCCCTCAGCTCTTCAGCTCAAGGCTAGTGCTCACCACTTGAGCCACAGCGCCGCTTCTGGTTTTCTGTGTTTTATTGGAGATAAGAGCCTCATGGACTTTCCTGTCTGGGTTGGCTTTAAACTGATTCTCAGATCTCAGCCTCTTGAGTAGCTAGGATTACAGGCATGTGCCACCAGTGCCCAGCTTTTAAAAGTATTTTACAAATAATATCATGTTCACATTATATAGAAGTGAATTCTCTGACATGGGCTAAAACAGTCTTATTGATTACTTATGTTTCTAATCAATGCTTTTGTGAAGCTCATCTTAGAGAAAGTTAAGCACAATTGTCTTCTGGAATAAAATCATTAGGCAAATGGATTTTTAAAACTGGAATGAGGTTTAAAATTAATCCATTCTATTCCTTCATTGTACAAAAGTAATAACTAGGAAATAACAGTGTTCCAAAGATAGAAATATATCCAATAGAGAGAACTCATGAATTTAACATCCCATTGAAAACTATTTGGGATATTACAAATATAGACACTTAATTTGACTTGCCTATAGTTGCAGAAGAGAATTGGAAGCTAGCTGATGCAGGACTATGGTTCTGTGATGGCAGGAGATAGAGGTTTTACATCTGAGCCAGAAGTATGAACACAGACCAAAGTAATTCATGTCGATATTTAGAGGTGTTGCATCCAGATCCCTTTTACTTGGATTCATCCGATGGCTCACAGCAGCCTTTCTCTGAAGTGTTTCTTTCAGCTACCAGAAACCAGTTTTACCCTGGGAGATCAGACACCTATCCCACCCTGCTACCGACAGCCTGCAATCAATAGATGACCAATATAGGGATACCACATCTTAGCTTTCTTAATTCTGTGGTGATATTTATGCTCCAAAGTTCTTTGTGGGTGGTACCAAGCTGAACCTAGTACCCTTGCTTAGCTCTGACCTGCTTCTCTGACCTGCTTTACTTCTGAGATCAGTTCTTCCATTAATCACTTGCACATGAATCCTCATTTCGGGCTCTGCTTCTACAGAATCTGATCTGAAATAACCCATAAATGAGATTTGGGAGGGTGGAGGTGTCTATTATCTTTTTCTTATGCCATTAGTGGAGCTTGAACTTGGGGTCTGGGTGCTGTCCCTGAACTCTTTAGCTCAAGGCTAGTGTTCTATTACTTGGAGCCACAGTACCACTTCTGGTTTTCTTGGGCTGGCTTTGAACTGCGATCTTCAGATCTCAGCCTCCTGAGTAGCTAGGATTAGAAATGTGAGCTACCTGCACCCAGCTACTATCTTTTAGACACCAAAGAAAGAGAAAAGTGGGTGGCTGGGAAGGTGGCTCAGTGGTAGAGCACTTGCCTTGCATGCCTGAGGCCCTGGGTTCGATTCCTCAGCACCAAATAAGCAAAAAGAAAAAAGCCAGAAGTGGCACTGTGGCTCAAGTGGTAGAGCGCTAGCCTTGAGCTGAAGAGCTGAGGGACAGCGCCCAGGCCCAGAGTTCAGGCCCCATGACTGGAACCCCCCCCCCAAAAAAAAAGAAAAAGAAAAGTAAAAGAGGTCATTAGACAGATATTGAAGAGCTTTTGCTTAGTAATAAACATTTTTCTGGTTACCAGGACCAGACTTTTTTATTCCAATTTTTAGAAATAACAAAGTTACAAATTCCTTCCTCTTACATGTTCAGATTCATAGCAAAAAAAAAATATTAACAACAGGATTGACAATACTGCTGATTTGTTTTATTTTATTTTATTTTTCTGGTACTGGGCCATGAATTTAGAGTCTCATGCCCTTGCTTGGCTACTTCACTTGGCTGGCACTCTATCACTTGAGCCATATCTCCACTTCAGGCTTTTATTGGAGATGAGTCTCTCAGAGTTGTCTGCTCTTGCTGGCTTTGAAACACAATGATCAGATCTCAGCCTTCTGAGAAGCTAGGATTATAGATGTGAGCCTTGAGTGTCTGGATTTGACTTGTTTCTGATAGGCTAGTGTCCTTATATATTGGCAGCCCCTGCAGTAATTTAGTTGGTCTTTACACTAGCTTCCTAAAGTAATGCTGGCTTATGATGCTGGTTCTGTGCCCTGATGGTACAGGAGAATCCACCAGAGAGGCTAACACACACATTGCTGAGTCCTATCTCTCCACTTATGATAATGTCAGGTCTGGAGGGAGGCCTAAGATTCCCTATTTCTAACAAGCTCCCAGGGATGCTAAGACTGCTGGTCCAGGAACCACACTTTCAGAATCATTTGTCTATAGCATCAGTCTTCACCAGTCTGAAGACTGATATAAGGTGTTTTCATCTCCACATCTATAAACTATCAATATTAAGTATTCAACAAAACTCACATTGTTTGTTGTTCTGTCTTTGGAGTTGCAGAAACCTGGGTTTTGTCTTTGCTTTGCTATTTAACAGCTATCTAACACTGTAAAATGGAAATAATGTCCATCCCAAGGGGTTGTTGGGAGGTTTAAATGAAGTAGACAAATCATAGGCAGTAAGCAATTGCTGGCCTTGCAAGTTGAGCTGATAAAAAGAGGAAAGGGGGCTGGGAAGGTGGCTCAGTGGTAGAGTGCTTGCCTCCCATGCATGAGGCCCTGAGTTTGATTCTTCAGCACCACATAAGCAGAAAAAGCTAGAAATGGCACTGTGGCTCAAGTGGTGGAGCGCTAGCCTTGAGCTGAATAGCTGAGGGACAGCACCCAGGCCCAGAGTTCAGGCCCCACGACTAACAACAACAGCAACCAAAAAAAAAACTTCCCCAAAAAACCATTAAATGAAAAGAAGAAAATTTTTTAAAAAAGAGGAAAGGCCCAGTGTCTGTGGTTCATACCTATAATCCTAGCTACTCTGAAGGGTAAGTCCTGGAGGACTGAGTTTTAAAGTCAACAGAGATAGAAAAGTTTGAGAATTCATCTTCAATTAACCATCAAAAAGCCTGGCTAGGTGCATGGTCAAGTGGTAGAGCACCAGCCCTGAATAAGTAAGC